ATTATATTCAGCAGTTTCAGAATAAAAGAAGGGATGAACATATCAAATAAGTCTGTTAAAAAATGCCGCTGCTTTTACCAGACGCTGTGAAAGACTCACCTTCAGTAGGCGGGTCAGCTTGCTGTCTCTATAGTTGACGTACTTGTTGCCATTTTTATCGCTCAGGGCGTTAATGCAGTTGCCCAAAGCCAGGAGGGAACGATTGATGTGAGCGCCTTCTTTCAACCGCTGACCTCTATTCTGAGTCTGAATAGAGGCAGAAATCGATGGGTGAGAAAACGTCTGAACTCACAGGTTTATATATATATTTTTTAACACTTTATAAATGTTTGGGGGGTGAAAGCACCTGGAAGGAGGTGAGGAATAACAAACATAAAGTCAGTTAAAACCAGGGAGTCTCTATAAGATGCTGGACGCTTCATTTATACGAGCATCAGGTTTCATTTCTTCCACTAATCATCAGCTTTTTTTCTCCATTTCAGTTTTATTTCAGATTGATGAGCTTTTAAGGAGCAGAGCAGGTTGAAGAACAACGCTGAAACAAAAATCCACCTGAGCTGCTCGTTCTGATCCGGCGAGGTCGATCATGAAGAGCCGAGCGAAGCGGACTTCCTGCAGGACGTCACGACAGCGGCTCTGCTGCTTGACGGCGACCTGCAGCACGGCGTGGGAGCGAGACGACGTCCGATTAGCCGCCGTTGGCTCCTGTGTGCGCTGCTTGTTGCCCTTCATTAGCAACTCCATGATCTGAGAACGCACATAAGGGACGGTTTCAGGGGTGTTAAAAGGCTTGATAATGGCGTGATGGAACCTCAGAAGGTTTCCTCTCACCTCCTGGGCGTTGATGGTCGACACCTCTGTGATGCCCGCCACCTGGATCACCCCTTTAGAGTCTTCTCTCAGGTCCAAGAAGCCTGAGGATGGGTTCAGCAGGTCCCTAATCATCTCATTATAGATCTGTGAACATAACAGATTGATCAAAAATAATCAATGAGTGGATCTCAAAAAATTAGAATATCATGAAAAAGTTTTATTTTTATTATTATTTAATAAAAAAAAAGATCATTTGCAGACATTGAAATATTTTAAATGCTCAAATCTAATGTTTTGGTTCGGAGGCTTATCATGAAGCAGGTTGAAAACGACTAAAATGTCTGAAACAAATAGATCTTTATATCTAACAAAATTAAAATAAGCCTTTAGGGGAATCCATGCAAAATAAGGCAACAGAAAAAAAGGACAATGAAACGGTTTTATACACTGCAAAAAATGGAAATCTAAATAAGTCATTTTTTCTTAATTTGAGTGCATTTGTTCTTGAATTGAGGAGGTAAAAGACACATTTTGCCAATGGAACAAGACAATTTACATTTAAAAAAAGAAATAGCAACCGCATTGTCTTATTTCAAGTGCATATTATCTAATAATCTTATTTTAAGAGTAAAAATACTAATTCCATTGACTAATCATCCCATTTACCTGCTAAAATGAAGGGTAAATACGCTTGATTTAAGACATTTTTACTTATTTCTAGACCATTTTTGCAGTGTAGAAACTAGTAAAAATGGGCTAAAAGGGAAAGTTTCTTAAGGATTCTGAATTTAAAGTTTCATCTAAGCTAATTCAAATATTTAATCTCTTCAAAAAGTCACTAAGTGACAATTATTAAAGCCTAATATTAAAACTAGGTCTCAAACGTCATAAAAATTGCAGATTTCAAATCCCCTGGATATCAAATTAGACCAGAATGAGAAGAAGCAGGTCAAATTAACAGTCATTTTCTTTTAATTTTTTACATTTTTCGTTAATCTATTATTGCGAAAAAAAAAAAAAAAAATACTCCTGGATGTTGCCTTTTTCTCTAACTCAAGGTTTTGAATGTAATTACTCTTAAATTAAAATTACTATCTTAGTCTAAAGTTTGACACATAAATCACTATCAACAGTTGACACTATTTCAGTTTTGTTATAATACAATAAATTTAAACCAACATCTAAGAAAAAGAAATTCTGAATCTAACAAACAAAGTGAAATTATAGATTAAAATAGCACTATAACGATTTCCTTAATTGATTTAAGGAAGTATTCCCTCTAATTTCCTCCTCCATTCTAGATGTGATTAATCTATTCCTCTTTTAAGGTAATTAAACCGTCCCACGATCAAAAACCACTTGGTCGATTATAGACCTGTAAAAACGAAAAAGTTAGTTCAACTCAAAATTTCAAGGCAACCGACTGCACAGAATTTTTGAGTTGAAGGCATCAACTTAATTTTTTAAGTTATGTAGAGCTACACTTTTTAATTCAAGTTACTGGAACTTTCAAGTCTGTAAAAACTTATTATTTTAAGATTATCTCAGATTATCTGTAAAATG